CCTTGTACAGCTTTGTCCAAGTTACACACAAAGTAGAAAATAATGCACAGTACTGGGGCTATTTTACAAAACACTTTGCCCATCTGAGTCGCCACGTGCTGCGGGCAGGGCACGCGGAGTGGCTTTATTCTGCGTGCGGCACCGAGTGCCAGTACCCACACCGGCAGCAGGGCAAGGCAGCGCCCGGGAAAGCTCCGTGTTCCATGGCCCGCTGCGGGCTTTTGCCGAAACTAGGAAGAGTACGCAGATGTTCCCTTTCAATATCTTAATTGTGTAACTAGCCTCGCTCAAATCAGGCCGTGTGGCATTCGATCCGGCTTCCTTCGCCGTCCTCGTGCCGCCTGCGCTACGCAGTTCTCACACCAAGGTACAGAGCCTTAAGTAATCCCAGAGCGCGGCAGAGGCTGAGCGATGGATGATGGGACACCGAGCAGGAGCAGTGCCTCCAGAGCACCCGGCGGGTGATCAGCACAGGTACTACTCCCATCAACACCGCTTTGCACAAAAAAACAAATCCCTCCTACTCTCACAGGCCAGAGCTGGGACCTCCCCAGGCTGCCACCCCCAGCAGCCTAGTGTGGGCCAGCAGCTCCATGTCCCGTAGCCGGGCAGGCGAGGAGCCTGGGCAGATCCTCCTCCAGGCACCACGCTTCTGGTAGCTTTTCCAGGCATCCCCAGCAATGGGCTCAATAGGCAGCAAGGCCAAACCTCAGCCTGGCAGCCCTGCTTAAAAACCTCAGAGCCCTGAGGAAGGAAAATGTGTAAGGGGAAGGAGCTGGAAAGAGACTTGGATGGAAAAGTGAGAACCACTGATCCTCTTCGGATGGCGTGTGGGGTAAAGCAGCCTTTAATGAGGGTGTTCAGGGCTCAGACTCGCCCCCTTTCAGACAAACCATTGAAGAAAGAGCCGAGACAAAGACGACGAGCCCTGCCGCCGTGCCCGGCTCGGCCTCGAGTCTCGGAGCACCCGGATGGCTGTAGCTGGCAGTCAGGCCTGGATGGGCCCTTTGTCCGTCGCTTTTCCATGCAATGAACACACTAAAGGTTTAGATGAGCCGTTTTCTTTTCCAAATAGGAAACGGGAGCTCTGGATATGCATCCAGATACCGCTGCTCACCGTTCCTCTCTCCTGTACAAAGTCCCCAGGGTGCACAGAAGGGCAAGGTGAAGCGCAGGAGGCCCGGGCAGGGCAAGCCACGTCTTGGCTTGAGTCTGCCAAGTGTGGGCTACCACCCTCACCCCAGCAATCCTGCAACCCTGCTGGGCGATGCTTCGTCACGGGGAGAACTCGGCCCTCCCCTGAGCAAACCACACTATATAGGGGCTGGCCAGGGGAAGAGATCCCTGGGCACGGCCATGCCGATGCCTCGGTCAATCCCTGCACCAAGGGGTCCGAGCTGTGCAAGGCTCCAGCAACACGAGACACCAGCAGAGCTGTGCTTCTCCTGCCCTGCCTTCTAAATCCCGCTCGCCTATCGCTCCCGCTGCCATTTTTCACCAGCCTCAGCAGGAGAGCGGGTAGAGAAGCAGGCCCGGAGGGCTGCGGGCTCTCCTCCCAAAAGCTCTCTGGCACCAAAGAGCGGCACGGCTCCAAGCCTCTCATTTCTGTGAAAGCCTCTCTGCAGCTCCCCTGAGGACAGGCTTGGCTCAGCACCCATGATTAGTATCAACTGTACTTTCCAGGGGGGTAATTAGTTCAGGTGAGGCAACTACTGACAGTTGGCTGCTGCGGCCCCGCTCTTGGCAAGCGCCCGAATCCCCAACGAGCAGCTCACATATCAAAGGGGCTGCCTGCTCCCCCAGCGGATCCACCCTGTACATCCGCCCCCGCCCCGCAGCCCCACGCCGCGGGTACCGACAGCTTTCACTGCGAGAGACCGGGGGAACCTGGAGCCCTCGGCACAGGTCGCTAGCAAGCCTTCCCCGTTGTCGCTGCTAGATTCTGTGTACCTAAAATAGCTCTGTATGGTGGAAAAAAAAAATCACTGAAGCGCTGCGCAGGTGGCATTACAGAGCCTTGCATTGAGTGCAGGCAACGCCGCCGCCGCGCAGCATCCTCTCTTCCAGCCAAAAGACAGAGTGCCAAGGTGTCAGGGAGGGAAAGCAACTGCCTAGAGGTAGGTGGAGGGTGCAGGCTTCAAAGTGGGAGCGTTACCGGGAGATAAGACAGCCAGCGCTGTGCAGAAGGGGAGGGAGCAAAGGCCAATTCATACACCAGACTAAATTTATCAGCGAAGTCTAATGGGATCCCAAGTAACCTTCCAAGTGAAGGAGCAAAATAAAACACTTAAGCCATTGAAAACTAGACTGGTCAAAGAGCCCCGCTGAACAATCCCGCATTGTCCAGGGAGCCGGGAAACAGATTTATTGGGTCACCCAGGCCATCTCCAGTTTCAGTGAAATTGCCCTGTTCTAGGGACGGTTCCAACTCCCCGCTCTGGCACCGCCGCTGTCCTTCGCTGGGCAGCGGACACCGCAGGAAGGGGAGGGGAGAGGCCCAGAGGAAGATCTCACTTTGTCAAGGTTCGGGAAAAGCGTGGAGGTAGGACATTTCCGTCATGCCAGACGTTTCCCAGTTTGGATTCCCTTGGACTGAGGCTGCTCTGATGGAAGAACAGAAACACGCCCCTACGGCTCAAACAGCAAGAGACCTGCCAACGAGATTAGAGCTTCAGTCCCTCCAGCACCGAGGGATTCGGCTGCCAAATGCCTGACGACTGCGCTAATTCCAGGTTACGCTTCCCAAGCCCCTCGCTAAGGCTCCGAGTACGGGCGCCTTTGCCAAGCAATACCGCTCTCGACTCCCCAGTGGGTTTCCCCTCCTCACCTTGTAGATGCCCAGTCTGGCTGCTTGTTGTTTACCAAGGAAAAATGATATCGCAGACCTCTCAGTCCTTAGAGCTGGTGAGAGGCCCGTGTTTCTGGAAGCGCGGACTGCCACAGCACCCAAACACGACGGGCACTACAAGGCAGAGTGCCATGGGAACTGCAGCCAGGAGATGCCAGCCTCCTGGGCACAGCCCAGCCTTGACCCCTAGCTGCTAGCAGGCACCCAACAGCACTCTGCATCCAGCGCACTCACCCGGGCACGGCTCCTAGTCCAGATCAGCCCAGATACCGATTTCTACATGGATAAAAGCATCTACAACTACAATCTAACCTTTCATAAGCCAGCCAGCCACCCTTGCAGAGCTGCAGCCTCTTGGTCAGGAGGGAGCAGGCGTTAGCCCTCGCTGAAGCGCGGGGAGCGTGCTGCTCAGCGCAGCCAGCCTGCTGCTTCTGCAGAGAAACAGAGCGATTTGGAAAGCAGCAGCTGCAGAGGGGTGTGAATCTGTTCCTAGGGCAAAGTAGTGCAGGAGGGCATGGGGAATTACTCAAGGAAAACAACCCTTCCCAAGCAGATACCTCCAGAGAAAAAAACTTGTAGGAAATGCTAAAGCAAGGATGTACATCTCCCTCTCCTTGTATTTCTCACCAACTGCAAAACACCCTGGAAGCTCACCTGGGGAGGGAAAATATATAGCAGTGGAAGACAAAAGAGGATTACAGTCTGATCGCAGTCGCAAGCCCAAGACAGAATCATTCACCAGTTCCACAAGGCTTGAGGCGTAAGTGAGCTCGTTTAGCTTTTCAGCCCTCAGTGCACTTGTAACGAGCCAGAGCTTGCGATGATAGTTAAACCCAAATTGCATCAAGAACGTTTAACAGTTTCAAACTTGCCTAGTACACACAATGAGTTCAGACACACTGACTCTCTCATCAAGAATCCAGATTCAGCACAAATGATTTAGTACACAGGATTAGTCTCAAGCGTAATGACTAACTCCTAGAAACTTTTACACTATTTTTAAATCCCACTTGTCAGGACAGCACCTGGAAATTAAATGAGAATCCCAGGGAGATTTATCCCAAAGACAAAAATCAAACAGGAGTACCTCGCCGCTTCCCAGGGTAGCGGTGACAGGCTAGTGCCACCTGGTGGGAAGCTTTTCTCCATCCCCCTCGCTTGCTTTCATCCTTTCTCTTGCATGCTCCCGCTCCCGGAGGCGAGAGGAGGGAGTGACAGCACGAAAAGCAGACAGGGCTGGGTGGCTCTTTCAACTATCCAGACCTAGAGATTATCCTCCAGGCATAGGCCAGGTCACCCTGTACTTCAGGCAGCAGCTTCTCAGTTCTTCCATAGCTGAGGCTGACCGGATAGATGGAGGCTCATCTGCAAGAGGAACGCGTAAACCAACACCAACATACCCCACAACGATCTCTGCTTGTTATTGAGCTGGTTTGCAGATAACCAAGCAGCTTAAGATGAGAGGTAACGTGTCCCCATGCAGGCTCTGGCAAGATGTTTGTCTGGAACAGCTCCAGCCCCTCACACCGTCCCAGCTCTGCTAGAAACAACTGCCGCAGTCGTACCGAGGCAGCGTCGGGCACGGCCCGGCTGATCACCAGCTTCAAGAGGCGGTGGGAACTCAGCCGAGTTTTGTCCGTAACTGGTGAGGAGAGAGGGGCTGCACAAACCGCCCCTGACGGAGGCGGTCGCTCCCACAAGGGGGTCACCACCAGCCAGGCCAGCAACGCTACCGCCAACGCTACCACCACAGCCCAGGGCCAACTTCCCACAGACAGATTTTGATCTCCTTGACGAGCAGGAGAGCAGAGAGGTCCCCTCAGACGAGGGCCCTTCGTTCTTCGGTCCGCACAAGCAGCCGTGCTACAGCCCGGGTCCGACCACGCTGCTGCCTGCAGAGAAGGGCACGGTGGAAATAGCTAGAGCTTCCCCAGCAGCCTCGTACCAGGGGAAAGACTTCCTTCAACCAGCCTAAAGACAGGACCTCTGAACCGGGACACTGCCAGCTCAGGACAGAGGAGGCAGGGCTGCAGACAGACACACAGACAAGATTCTAGCATGAGCCCTGACAAATCAAGACCGATTGGTTCAGTATCTCACCAATTTGGCAAGATTAGCAATGTCTACATACACGACCCAGCAAGACACGGTCGACTCCCAGCAGAACCAGCTCCATATAGGATATATTTATTTTTATTTTTATACATTTAACACCGAGAAGACAGCCATTTTGATGGGACTCATCTTGCCCCTGGTGCACAAGACATTCAGAGCCAGAGGGAACCTGTCACAGTCCACAGCTTCGCTATTTCCAACCTGCAGGGACACGTCCTAGAAACGGATCCAGTACATGGCACTGCGGATACGGTTGTAATCCAAAAGCTGTTCGATGGGACCTGAGTGAACAGAGCACGAGTTAGTCACTGGAGACATAGTTAAAATCCCTGTGCGGTTTCCCATGGTCTTAAAGCAGACGGTGGCAGAGCCGACTGTGCGCACAATCCAGAGCGGCTATGCACAGAACCAGGCAACTACAGCTCAAACCTGCGTCAGGAAAACCAGCAGATACCATCTCCCGACAGAGAAACCGTTACTTGTTGCCTCAGAGTAAGTCGTTTTCTCGCACTGCTCCGCAACGCTCAGTACAGCTCCACATACAGGTATGAAATACAGGGAGCCACTAAGTCACGGCAATTCTGGCCTGTTCATTCCACCCTCCTGTTCAAAAACCGTCTCCCTTTTCCAAGCTGCTCCACTTTGAAGGCCAGAGGAAACAGCTGCATGGAGGAGGGGAATCCACGACACACAGGAAGGAGGCAGTAGAGCGGAGCTGAGCTGCTCAGGCAGGTTTTCCGAGAGGAATTTGTCCTTGGCCAGACAGACATGCCAGAGCAGCACAAGAGAATCAGGTCCCTTCGCTTCCCTTACATAAACCACCGCGACCCCAGGGTGAGGACAGCTGGCAGACGCCGCTGGGCCCGCACCCAGCTATGGGACTCCCGATCTTAGTCACGGCTCCACAGCAAGCAGAGAGGCGGGAGGACGGCCAGCAGCTCGCTGCCACTGCATCTCCGTCAGCTGCAGGTCTGATCTCCTGGCAAATGTGCCTTGGCACGTCTAACGCGCAGAGGTAGGAGGATACCAGCAAAGAACCGGAGCGGTTAGAAGGCCAGAACAGACATGTGAAAAGTGCCTGCAGCTCACTTCGGCTCAGCTCTTGACCCCTTCCTATTTTTTGAGCTACCACGTAATAATTGCTGCGTGCTACTTACCAACTGCTGCAATTGCCGGGCATTTGTCATAAATGTATTTACTGCAGACTTCTCTCACCATTCTTGCGTCAACGGCCTAGTAAATATCAAACAAGCAATTAACGACCCTTCTAGCAGACCTGCATTTCTCAAAGTTGCCACTACGTATCAAGATCATTAGAAAGATATTGTCAGACCCTTGGGGGCCATCTGCACCACCTGTACAGCTCCCGTCTGCAAGGATGGCTAATGTTCTACACAGCGCATTTTTCTGAGGGTACAGAAGACAGGGCAGCCCAAAATCTGAAGCCTTCCAAGGGATACAGTGGCTACAGAACTACACAAACTAGATGCTGGCCACCTCTGGGAAACTGTCAAAGGAATTTCCAGTTGTGCTGCTTAACACAGGCGCATGCCCTCTTTCTGGGACAGACTGAATCCAGGCACAGGGACACAGGATACACTGAGTCTATGCCAGAGACTCTGACGTATTTATACCAGCGTCAGTGAGCTGACCGCCTGGACTCCAGGCAGCTTGGCTAAGGGATAAGTAAGTCTCATGTTACTGCAGCAAACTAAGGCCAGAAAATGCTGATGCCAGCCGTGCTCAGGTACCCCAACCAAAACAAACAGGTACCTACAGCAATCCTGGCATCCCATTCCTCCAGAGGGATACGGCGTCCGTAGTTTAAGAGATGGCTTCCAATATTCTCACACACCGGTGTAGTGCCTAGATGTTGAAGAGATCGCGTGGTCAGCACAGCAGAAAGCCTTCCAGAATTGCACAGCCTGATCATCAGTCAAAGCAGACAGAAGCAACTCTAGCCATTAAAGCGGCTTCTAAGGAAGCACCAGTTGCAGTTACCACTCTAAGCAGCTCCAGCAGGAGTTAAGCAACACAGAGATTGCTTCACCGGTCTCCGAAGTGTTACAGCCACAGCAGACCAGTTTGAAAGTCTCAATTCTAACCTCACCAGGCAGCACGTTATTCACTCTCCGCAACAGAACAACTAGAAGTTTACAGAGTCGGAGTTAGCCTGGAGCACAGCAGGCTGGGGTCAGCTGCTTCAACAACATGGCAGAAGGAACGCAGAGCAGGGGAAAGGAAGTTTTGCCCAGTGCCTGCCAGCAGTACCGCGATGTCTAGCAGAGCTCTTGCTCCCCAGGAGAGACATAAGCGGTAACCTTCCGAAAGCTGCGCAGTGGTCAGTCCATAAACCAGAACATACCATCCAGTTGAGCCACCATGGCGTTTCGGAGATAGTTCTTGGCTCTCTTCACCTCCGACTCTGTGGCACTAGTGCACAGGCGCATCCTGGAGAGGAGATGCAAAGACCACTAAAGCTCTTAAAGATGTTTGCCTGCTCAGACAGAAAGTGATCTTCTCCCTTGCTCAAGCCTCTGCAGAAATAAGCTATCATCAACATCACTTGTCTTGCAGGCTCCAGACTCACTCTTGATCACTGCAGAGCAGCTAAGAACTGGGGAGCACTGAACAGCAGGAAGCAAGAGAAAGCGCTCAAGCTCACAGGCAGCGGACATCAGCCAGCAGGTTACACGCCGAGTTACGCTCACAAAGGTCTAAGCAGCCCTGGCGCCAGCTCTAGCCTGCCCATCAGGCACAGCGGCAAGTGGTCTGCGGTACGCAATCACAAGAGAAGGCAGGCGTGTCAGCTATTCCCACCCACGGCAAGCTGCTATGGAAACTGATGCTGAAAGAACAAGACAGTTCTACAGAGTCTGTTTGGACTCCAGCTGCTAAATCCCTTCCTCCCCTGCCAACTGCAACATCCCGAGGGCAAGGGCTAACTCCATCTGCTCCACACACAGCACAGCTCAGCTCCGATCTCAGCTGTAGCCTCGAACCATTACTAGGATATGCATGTATACAACAAGGTGGAAAGACAGAAGGCCTCCAAACGCTGACGTGACTCCAGCAGCAGGGCATTTATCAGCCACAACACAACAGGCGGGAACTTCGTCTGCTTTGCTCAAGTTTAACAAGAGAACGGAGATACGTCTCTTGGGCACCTGGGAAAGCCTTGTCTCCAAGGAATGATCTCACTTGTAGATTAAAAAAACCCCAAAGCCTCAGTGCTAATACTTGGAAGCACGAACGAAAGACCCAAAGAGCCCTAAGGGATTAGCTCCTCAAAAGCCACATCCTAAGACATTTACAGAAACCACTTACGGGATCTCTTAACCAGAACGTGAGTTACCAAGAATTCACACAGGGACACAGCACTCTGAAGACCCAATATGCTGCCCACCAGCTCAGTCTCCCACAAGAGGGTCAGATCTTAAACGGGAACTTTTGCCCAAGTTGTACTTACCACTCCCCCTGAGCACAATACAGCATATCATCTATCGACAGAGGATCAGAAACAAAATGGAAACCGAAGAGGCCGGTATCGGAGTAAGAGGTGTTGAACGTCTGGAAACTGTGGCAGAGATTATGCTCCACAGCAAGCGTAGCCAGCCTGCTGGACTGATTCTGTAAATAAGGAGATACCATCAGCCATTTCAGTCTTAGGGCTTCCTCACAGCTCAAATTCTTTCCAACTGAGCTGTTTTCACAAAAACCACAGACAAGACAGAGCGGAACGCTTTGCTGAAGGAGAGCTTAATTTAGGCCCTTCATGTGGTCAACAGATGAGATTCACTGGTGGAAAAGCCACAGACAATGGCCTAAGAGTCCATCCAGCAAAACCATTTCCTTTCCCAGCCACAGATGAGGAGCTGGTATGCATACCACCGTAGGAGTGGGAGAAAATGGGACGTGCAAGGTCTCCCAGTAGCAGGGGTTAGCATAGTTATGCAGGCCAGACAGATTTCAGATGAGAATGGATGCAACATTGGGGTTTTAAACAAGTTCCACCTGCTTTGCAGTTTTAAGACAAGCTTACATCATGAGACTATAGACTGCTCTGTCCTGCTTCCATCACCGCCCCCACCGAGCAGTTAGTTTGTGAGGGTAGGAATAAGCTGCTGAGAATTCATCAGCTAAACCTCTTCCAAACTAGGCAGAGAAGGCTCAGTTCATTCCCCAGCATCACCTCTCAAGCAGCGTCCTGGCTTAGCCTCGACTACCCTTCTGTCCTACTTTCCAGATGCCCAAGCGCTTCACAGTTGGAAGCTAACCACAGCAGCCTCCCACAAAGCACATCCACCCAGGGTCTCCGTAGTATTTCACGTGAAAAGGCTCCAGGCTCTCCCTGTCACGCCCACAAGCCTCTTACCTTACCACCTCCAAACGTGCGGTCGTAGCGTCCAATGACAGCATTAGCCACGTTGAGGACAACGTTATCTGGATCAGCCCATCCTGGCCCCTCCACGGCAAGAGCAATATGGGCAACGGGCAGCGCATCATCTCTGGCACGGATCTAGAAAATCATCGAGGAGCAGGGAAGCACTGCATGAGCACTGTGGCTTTGTCTACAGCCTGCTGCAATGCCAGGTTGACAAACTGGAGGACCTGACATTAACCCAGTGAAATGAAATAGTCTCAGGCACTACTGAGCAGAAACCAGCTGCTCCAGTATGAGTTTTCCAGCAGATGATGTGAGCAACAGCCTCACTTTCCTAATAGATTCGGGTCCTATCTAAAACCCAATACATTGTGGCAATAAGCCCCAAGAACAGAACACGGAGGCACTACCAAGATGCTGCATCATCACTTTCTCTGAGATATACAAACAGATTTTTTTCTCTCAGGAGCAGCTATGACTGGTTTCACATTCACCCAACAGTCTAGCAACAGCTGCTCGTTTTGTTTCAGATCAGAACAACTTTACCTCACTCCCTGTGAAGCGACAGCGCGGGAGGACAGGCACAGCATCCTCTTTGTACGTAAAAGGCACTCCACTGAAGTGTTGCCTAGCTACGTCTACCAGCTCTTTGTGGGAAATACCTGGCAATGGGAGAGATTTGCAGTCTCAAACAACTTCATTTAACAAAATCATCTGATTTTACATTAGAGATGTGTGACAGGGGTTTGACCACCAGCTTGAAAAGAGCCAGGCTTCCTAGAGTCACAAAGACCTACAACTTACCTCCAGCAGCTGCCAGGACCATACGAGGTGCCTTGAAGTGAGTATCAACGTATGAAGCTAGATCTGCTCGAGTCAGATGCCTAGAAACAACACAGAGACCCAGTATATCAGCATCTCTGAGTTGGAGGCTTAGGAGAAGCAAGTTCACAGTGCAGAGGCAGCAGTGATGCTGTTGATTCTCTTAGTTGTAGGGTAACAATACTTTCTAGAAGCAAGACTGCACTGTGTTTTCCCCGTGCTCTAGTTCTGGAACACAGAGAATGGAAACCGGTGGCCAAGATGAAGAGTTGAGGATAGACTTCAATACAGACTAGAGAGTACTGACCCTGGGCACTGAGCTACCGGTACCCTAACGGGTGTGTAAGCTCAAGGCCACCGCTTTAATGAGCGCCCCTAGCTCCTAATTTCTCTAACAGCGTCAAACTCACGAGTACAGGAAAAAGTTCAACCTGGCCCTACCAACCCCACATCTTGCGCAAGGGGGATTCTAGAGAAGAACGTGCAGCATTACGCTTTCACTAGCGCCAAGAGGGAAAATACAGTCAAGGCGCAACGAGAAGCCCACGGGCACAGATCACGTCTGTATACACTTTCCTCGTGCAGTTACCACTACTGAGAAGCAGCAGTCGTGCACCCCAAGGACCCTGGTACACCCACGGGCTATGCGCCGCATCCAGCCTGTTGCTCACTTGATGTTCTCCGTGGTCCCCTCGACAGTGCGGGCCAGCGCAGTCCCCTGGAAAGCAGTGGCATGAAGGTAATCAAAGGTAACATCCGTCAAGTTGGTGTCGATTTCTTTCAACTCCTGAAGGATGACGCCACGTTCCTTCTCAATCTGAGACTCCTCCAGTGCACAGTTCTGCACAATGTCAGCCAGAAGCTCTACAACTGCAACACATTGCCTGCGTTAGCAATCCCGCTGCCTGACTGCTACCCAGTGCTGCTGAAAGGAGAAAAGACACACAGGCAGCAGTGGCACTGCAAGAGGAGCAAGAAACCACACTGAGGGGGGGATGCGACATAACAGAGACGAGTACTGCCCATTCCCACAGCACCAGAGAGGGACAAACAACACTGTTTTGGCACGACGTCTCCAAGTCAGCTTGCCAAGCAACACTGCCACAGAAAGCAGGCAACAACTGCAGAAGGTGAAGCGTGTCAGAAGCAGGGTGCTGTTGCAGAAACACGCTGAATCCTTACAGAGAGCTGGCGACGCCTACAGCGTAGCCCACATCTACAGCAGGGCCCATAGCTCTGGCTCAAATCACCACCTCCGGACAAAATGGACCCAAAGACAAGTCTGCACATGGTCGTACAGAGCACAAGCAGCAGCCCAAGAGCTACCCTGAGCGCTCCTGACACAGTAGCTGTCACTGACCTCAGTTTCTCAGCTCCATAAGACAACTACAGACTAGTGAAACCCCCCTCTGCCTCCTGGCAATATAGTGCAGCCTGACATAACAAGTTTTGCAAAACTGGTTTTAGGAACACATAAACTTGCAGCTTTGAAGCACCATGTCATGGCAGTGCTCTCTTCAACTACCAGCTAGAACCTCCAGTTTACTGCTCAGCTACAACTTCATTCCCTGGTGTGTTGTTAGAAAGGATGCTGGTGGGAGAGAAACACAACCACAAGCGCTTGCTTCATCCTTAACCTCCAAATCAGACTTTCCCCGCTGGCCATCCTACCTTTGGGCATGTCCTTGGACAAGGCTTTTATGTAATAGGCAGTCTGCTCCCGCGAGGTGTACCCGTTCAGGTGAGCACCCATACTCTCCACCTCCTTCTCAAAGGCAGCGCCAGGACGCTTCTTTGTGCCCTAAAGAAAAGAGACAAACAGGATTATGAAACGAACAGATTTCCCTCTCAGGCAGAACTAAAGCAAGGAAAAGAGCAATAAAGACGTAAAACAATAAAACCTGTCATGTGATTCGTAAAAGCCAAGAGCAAGTGCAGAAAGCAAGAGATTTAAACCTTGGCTTATTTACTCTAGCTAGAGGATGGCTGAGGTGTATTTTGAAAGACCAATAAAAACCCAGCAGGGAAGGAGAAGATCTACACTGAGACAACAGTGGCTGGAGATCACATCAGTGGAAGTAAACCAAGAACAAGTCTAAACCAAAAATAAGCAGGTTTCTAGCTATCCAAGCAGCGATATTCAGAAGAAGCCAGAACAGGAGCAGAAAACTACTTCTAATACAGAGCTCATCTCTTAAGGAGCAAGCCAGATGCTGCAGTTGCCTATGAAGGCACAGCCTGGACTCAAGTCAGCAAGCCCCAGGCTTAGATGCCTTCTGCCCTAGGGCTGTTCAGCAGACACTTACAATATTAGAAAAGTAAGAGCTGTAGCCTCTAAACTTTGCTGGTCCACTAAGAAAACCAAAGGAAAATAAATGGCTACAGGAAATGCTGCTTTGAGCTCTGCCTGCTAACCCAAAGAAATGTGCTTCATAACATAGTCCTGTGTGTGCGCTACGCAGCGGTTGGGTTGGAGCCACGGCATCGGAGACTCGGTCTCACTAGTTACTTACAACTTTTTTCCCTTAAGAGGGGAAATACCAACTAGTAAATAAGAGTTGCCTTAATTCATGCATTCTTACAAGCTGTTGCATATTCAAACAAAGAGCACCATATAGGCTAGGCGCCTTTTGAAGTTTATTTTTATACTACGTGCAAAATCTCTGGGACTCAGATGACCCGATTTGCGCTCTTTTAACAGCTACAGCCTCCAAAGCGAAAGCACAATATATAAGTGAGTATTTAGAACAGCTCTCCACGCAGTCCTGTGCCAGACCAAGGCATACCTCCTTACCTTAAAGGCCAGATGTTCCAGGAAGTAACCGGCCCCGTTGTTCTTCTCGTTTTCATGGCGGCTCCCCACCCCGATCCAGACACCCACCTAACGGCAAAAGCATCAAGTACACATATTAGAAAAGAAAACAAACGGCACGCTCGAGCCTCATGCCACAAATATAACAGCAGGGGCAAGAAATCTCCTCCACAGACATTGCACTAATAGCACCAAAATAAGAACGAGCACCAGCAACAGTTTCCCATACGTGTTTTGGCTTTTTATCCAACAGCTTCACAAAAGCCTTTGCTAGTTTTGCCAGAGATACTACTACTTACTAAGCTTACTGCTTACACAAAAACTGTAAGGCTGGGAAAACTCGTAGAGCGCAAAGGCTTGACGACAGACTTATACAAAGGCAGGCTAGGCCTTCTCCTGCTGCATTAATCCCACCACTTAACAAAGAGAAGTAGCAGGGTCTCTGTCAAAAGATTCAGTTCAAAGAGGGGTTTGTCGCTTTTGGAAGGCCAGCTACAGACTCGGCAAGGCTGGCTGTTTCACATACGCCCATAACCCGTCTTAAACTTACCGTACACGTTGGCTGATTGGACTCCTCCGAAGCTACGCGGAGACCATTGTCCAGGGTGGTGACCTGGGTCTCAGGGATATTATGGAGTGTCTGGGCGTAGGTGGCAGCACCTCGGTTCCTTGTCAAAGTCAATAAAGCCGCCTAAAAAAAAAAACAAAAAAAAAAAAAAGAAAAAGGCTGTCATCGCCCCTGAGCAGCAGCTGAGGGCTGGCCTCCGGAACGCAGGCTGCCGGGCACACCGCTGAGCGAAGGCGGGCCAGACGAGCTCTTTCAGGTTTATACTGGGGGGCTCCTGCTACCCACCGTTCCTTAACCGGAGGCCTGGAAACCAGAGATTTCAAGCGGGTCGAACGCCGCAGCGTAGAGCCCCGGGACCCGGTCAAACCCGGTACCGGGGCGGCAGAGGGGAGCGGACAGCAGCCCCCCGGCAAGCCCCGCAAAGG